CCCCATTGGCCCATCAACTGGCTAAGGTGATCGAAGAAAGATTCAGGGATCGGTTACAGTAGTTAGAGGAGGACAACGTGAACGTCCTAAATTGATTTGATGAATTTAGGTCCTCCGGTGGAGGATTTCGAGACTGGCCACAGTCCCGAGAACCCTCTATCAGGGAGGTGGGACCTGAGGACTTGAGAAACCGCCTTAGTAGCGGAGCAGAGAACTCTAAGGATCCAAAACCCCCGAGGGCCAAGGGACAGCTCTGAGAGGTTCCAGCCAAGAGGGCTAGACTGTTGGCTTGGAATTACCTTCGTCGGAGGAGTCTAAGGAGGGGTAAATCCTCTCCATCCGACACCCTGGAGCAGGGGGGCATGCTAATCGACACATGAAGGAAGGCGAGGTGGATAAATGCGCCCCAGGTAGGGGCGAAGACCTCAGGGTACATTTGGATCCTACAAGAAGGGATAAAGCCCCTTAGAGGATGACACTGGCGACGAAGCTATCCAGTCACCCTTCACTATGCATATCATGGAGATGGAGGTCCCAAAGAAGTTTGTTGTACCAAGGTTCAAGGCTTATGATGGACGCTCTGACCTAGAGGCCCACCTCAGGCAATACAGGCAAATGATGTCCCTGTACCACTCGGATCACCAGTTGTTATGCTAGGTGTTCTCAATGAGCCTGGGGGATACTGCTATGAAATGGCTTGAAACCCTTCCACCCAATAGCATAGGATCTTGGAAGGAGCTGACCAAACAATTTTTTGCTTGTTTCATCACGGGGAGAAAGCGCCCCAATGATGTTGGGTCACTACAGACCCTGAGACAAAAGGAAGGTCAAACACTCCGCTAGTACGCCACTCGATACTAGGAGGAAATGAATGAGGTGGAGTGATGCTCTGAGGTCATGGCGGCAACTTCTTTTAGACTTAGCTTCTCCAGGGACATCGACCTTTACAAGTCCTTAACAAAGAAGACGCTAACGGATATGGACGAGTTGATGGCCCGAACCAATAAGTACTCCAGGATAGAAGATGGGACCCAAGTGAGAAGGACTATATAAAGTCACATCAATGGGAGGCTCTAGGTCATACAAGTTAGAGGATTTGGAAGGAAATACTGCACTTCTGCCTCGGAATATAATGAATTTTAAAAAATATTATTTTTGAGAAAGAAAGACTTATTTTCACTAAGTGTGTTGTCTTGGATGGGGCATGGCCTCGGAGGCAAAGTCAACACGGAAGAATCTTGCCTCCAAATAAACAAAAAGAGCACAACCTCCTGGAAGGGGCATAGCCCCAGAGGCCAAGTCTTCAAAGAAGATTCTTGCCTCCAAAAAGACAAAGGAGCACAACCTCCTCGAAAGGGCATGGCCCTGGAGGCCAAGTCTTGAAGGAAGATTCTTGCCCCCAAAAAGACAAAAGGAGCACAGTCTCCTAGAAAGAGCATGGCCCCCCGGAGGCCAAGTCTTCAAGGAAGATTCTTGCCTCCAAAGAGACAAAGGAGTACAACCTCCTAGATGGGGCATGGCCCCGGAGGCCAAGTCATCAAGGAAGATTCTTGCCTCCAAAGAGACAAGGGAGCACAACCTCCTAGAAGGGGCATAGCCTTGGAGGCCAAGTCTTCAAGGAATATTCTTGCCTCCAAACAGACAAAAGGAGCACAGCCTCTTGTAAGGGGCATGGCCCCGGAGGCCAAGTCTTCAAGGAAGATTCTTTCCTCCAAAGAGAAAAGGAGCACAACATCCTGGAAGGGGCACGACCCCAAAGGTTAAGTCTTCATGAAATATTATTGCCTCTAAAGAAACAAAAGGAGCGAAGCCTCCTGGAAAGGGAATGGCCCTAGAGGCAAAGTCTTCAAGAAAGACTCTTGTCTCCAAAGAAACAAAAGGACCAAAGCCTCCTGGATATGGCATGGCCCCAAAGACATTGCCCCCAAAGGACCCAAGGAGCCAAAGTTCGTAGGAAGATACTTAACCCCGAAGACCAAAAAGGAGAAAAGGAAATAAGCAAACACTTGGTAAAAGAAAGGCATCCTTACATTACAAAAAAAGGAGGGCTTTGCATCCCTCAAGTCGCAGAAACAAAACTAAGTTACAAGGAAAGTGAAAAAGCAGTTCTACGGAGGACTAGTGACATCGGTCCCAATGTTTCCTTCGATGTCAACAAAGAACTCATCGACACTAGCAGATAAGGAATTGGTGCTCTAAGGGATAAGAACAGTGTCGGCAACACTGGATCATCGGTAGAAAAATGGCTCCACAAAGGGACAGGACATTCAAAGCCCTTTCATCTTCATTCGCCATGTCTTCCAGTCAATATGAAGATCATGAGCGGGGGGCAGTTGATGAGACATTTTATGTGATCAAGGAGGGACGAGGCACGTGTCCTCGACATATTGGCCACAGAGTGTTCTTTGGACGACACATGTCCTTGGCACCTCGAAGGTTCTTGCAACTGACACGTCATCTCGGCACTAAAGGTACCTCAAATTCCAAGACATGTTGTCGCGGAGTCCTCAACATCTTGTCCGCAGAGCACTCTCCACGTGACACATCATCTCAGCGCTAAATGCACCTCAGAGTCCTCATCACGTGACACCTGTCCTCGGCTCTCAAAGTTCCCCGAGGAGACCTCCATCTAACACGTGTCCTCAACGTCTAGACCTCCACTCCGCCAAGGTGTTGGTGATCACCTTGGGACTTGGGCCATGGCGAATAATGGAGGTATTAGAAAATTCAAGAATGATGTCACCACATCAGAGGTGGAGGAGGTTCTTAATCATCAAACCCTCTTCCTAAGGTAGTCAGAATGACAAGATAGGTAACCTAGTGACCAATAGAGAGAGTCCACAAAGTACAATGTTCAGATAATGTGATCTTCTGGATGACAAAGGAAGCAAATGCCCCAACACATGTGCAGCCACAATGAAGGACATTAAATGATCCCTCAGAAGGATGTGACACATTTATTGCTCAGCGGACTGCAGGAGGAGTGCATTAAATGCTCGAGGATCTGGGCATTAAATGTACAGATTTCTTTTGGCGTGACAAGAAAGGCACTCTGCCCTAGGACTGTGCTCCACAGGCTGCCTTCCAATGGCAAGCCTCTTCTTGACGGGACCCGTCTAACAACAATGATGACCTTCATGGAAGGTATAAATAGCACTCACAAATGTGGTGTAAAGGTACGCAAATTCACTCCCCAAGAACGCTATTGTGCTTTCTTCTTCCACTCTCTCAAAGAATTGACTTGATTGTCAGAGGAGATACGCTAGAAAACACCCCAGCGCCCTTCTGAATCAAAAAACACTCCAGCACGCCAGAATCGATTAGACAGCCTAAAGCCCAACTCATTACCACTCCTTAGGCCACCTTTGGCCGCCCTTTACCACCGGACTGTTGACTTTCCAGGTAAACACGAGTTCACCAAGGGAGATAGCTGTTTTTTTCATCTATTGTGCGAAAATCAAACCGCACAGTCACATCCCTGCCTCTTATGTATCCTTTTCAAACTTTTTTGAAGATAATATTTTGGAATTAGATAAGACAAATTTTTTATTATCGACACTCTTCGTGATTTTTTTCTTTTCTTTTTACTTCTATTTTCAGTCTTTCTATGGTTTAATTTAATCCTGTTAGGTCCATGATAAATTGTGTGAAATTAAAGAAATTCATCGAGGTCAATTGTATAGGTTGTAATTAACCTCAATTTCTATAAAAGGGTTATAATTAGTCTTTTTTTTTTGGTTTGTATACACAATATATTGTTTTTTGACTTTTTTTTTTGTAATGAATTTCTATGTATTAAATATAATATATTCACTATAATTGTATTTTTTTTAATGTTATTGATTGGAATTTTTTTTTGAAACTTGTACTTAAAATATCCACCAAAAATTTTAAAAAAAAAAAAAATTTGGCCCTACCCTTGCCGACGAGTTAGAAGAGGAGTCTAGAGAAGCTTTTCTTCATAATGTTTGATTTTTCATGTTCGTAGCTTATTGTTTTTAATTTTAACAAGGGCAAATAGGGACTACATTTTTAATTACTACTAGCTAACGATAATTCCACATGAAATGAGTTGAATTATGCTTGATTAGTTTATGACATGAACCTGAAAATTATATGACCTCTTAACATGAATAATAAATGATCGAATCAGTGTTAACTACAAATAATTCGACTTTGACATAGTAAATTGACTTAGCTAGTATTGCAGAAAGAATTGGGTGATTATTTCTTTTCTTTTTTTAATCTCTATTTTGATATGGTATGATCTAAAATCTTGTAGAATAAGATAACTTCTTTTTGTTGGTTTTTTTAGCATTTGTATGGAGTGAATTTTATGGGATTAATTGCAGTGATAGTTGTCAAGGTTAGCACTTCATCTCATTTTGGTTCTCAACATTATAATTGTATCGCATTGGTCCATGATGTATTAAATTTATTTTTAAATGGTCTCCATGTATGACACCGTCTAAATTTTTAACGGCTTTTGTTCACGTGCTTCAAACATGCTTCTGAATGTAGGGTATTTTAGACAAATCACTCTCTATTTAACCAAAAAATTGCGATAGTAGTCCTCAAAGTATATTCTTCGTCTCATTTTGGTCCACCAACATTACAATAGTATCACAATAGTCCCTAACGTATTATAATGTTGGGGGACTAAAATGAGACGAAGAGTATACTTTGAGGACTACTGCTACAATTTTTGGGTCAAATAGACATCAATTTGTCTAAAATACCCTTAATTTAGGAGTATGTGGGAAGCACGTGAACAAAAACCGTTAAAAATTTAAACGGTGTTATACATGGGGACCACTTAAAAACAAATTCAATACATCATAGATCAATGTAACATTAAGGATCAAAATCAGACAAAGTGCAAACTTTGGGGACAACCGCTGCAATTAACCCATTTTTATTTTATTAGATGCCTTTGGCCTATGGGTGGTGTAGTGCAACAAATGCAAACCCCTGGGTTGGTTTTTGTAAGTTCCCTAGAGATGAGGAGGTGAAAATCACTCTCTAGGTACCTTTGGACTGATTCTGATTCATCTATGTACAAGCATTGCTTGTTAGCTGCCTAGGAGAACGAGGCTCTGTAAGGTGATGATGTGACTTGCTGAAAAATAAAGCTTTCAAAGTGTTGTTTGATGAAGAGTTGACATTGGTAGGGTTTTGATTATGACGAAATGTGAAAGATTACAATTATCTTACCTACAATATTATCTTTATATCAAACATTTGATACATATAATTTGATGAAAAATATGCATAGGTTGTCTGTAAAGTAGCCTTATTGCCACATTTTACACACACACACACACAACTACTATTTTATGTCTTTTGGTGTTAGGCTTATGTGATGTCAAGATCTATCTTTGCTTGTCCAGGGATCCCTTAATTTCACCATGGATGCCTTAATTTGCTTCCAGTTACACTGGAAGTATGTTTCGCTTGAGCGTTGAAGCATTTGCCCCATGCCTATTTGAATTAATCAAGCAACGAGCTATGAGACTGACTAGAAGGTGTGATTCTCCAAGTTCCCCCATCATTGTAAAGGTATGTGCCCTGCGCCTATGTGAACTGATAAAGCGATGTGTGATGGGTCTACAACGAAAGCCTAATTCTCTAGGTTCCCCGCTTGCTATCCAGCAAAACCAATGTAGCAATTCACCTGCTGAAAGCATGATGAACACTGCATAGAGAGCTAGCATGACTGAGTCTGGGAACAAAGTTGATGCTAGAGATGTCAATGAAAAAAACCCAAATGACTCCATACTATAGCAAAGAATACTGGCACAAGTTGGAGAGGAAAATCTCAACTTTGTTTTGTACAAGACATAATATAGAATCAAACTACTAACGGCAACCCCCATGGTTTTGGGGTGGGTTTCAAATGGAGTTTCGTCCTTTCCTTGATAGTTTAATTGCTGGAGGTTGATGATCACCGGTACAATAAAAGCAAGAATTGTATGGTGTGAAGAGGAAGTACGTTGTTCTTTCGAGAAATTGAATCTCACATCAATGGAGGCAACATTAAAATGTCTTGAAAAGTTTGTCCACCCACGGTGAAAGAAGGTTGTTCTTGCTGTTTCGTCTATGAATAAATACCAATTCCTGCAGAAGACAGAAAAGATCTCAGTTACAACAGGAAAACAAATCACACTGAGTACATATCAGACTAAAAAATAGAGAAAGCAGATGTGTCCTTTACTAGAGTTTATTCGTGATAAAGTTGTTGCAATTTTATGCCCTCACTATAGGGGTGCAACTCTGGCGGGTTGAGAGGTCAACCTTTGCTCAACTCTAGGTATATAATCTTCAACCTTAACCCTACCTCAACTCAAGGTACATAATTCGAATACTGCCCGAGTTTAATTCAGGCGAGCTTGGGTTGAATTCGAGCTGATTTTGGGTTAAAAATTGGGTTGGACTTGGGTTACTTAATTTGGTTTAATTTTTTGAAATGTAGATTTGATTTTTTCGAGTGTAGATCTGATTTTTTCAAGTGACCTGAGATTAGGGGAGAATGAGTGAGAGAGGGAGGAATAACGAGTGAGAGAAGGAGGCTGAGAGTCTGAGACAACTCAGATGAGTGATAATTGAGAGAAGGGGGAGTGACAAGTGAGAGAAGAATCTGAGAGTGATTAAGACGTAGAGATGAAGACTTGAAGTGAAGTGAAAATTTTGACTCTAAAGAGTGAAAATAAATACTAACTCTAATTAAATATATTTATATATTTATGTATATTTGGCTTCAACCTTATTTTAATAATCGTGTTCAACTCGACAACCCGATGCCTCAACTTGAGGCTTCCCCAAATTCAATTCGGATTAAAGTTTTTCTACCTAGACCCAACCCAATTATTAAAAATTCTAACTCAAGTCCTATTTTTTTGGGGTTGAACTCGGTTTAAATTCGAATTGACCCACCTAAATTGCACCCTGCACAGGTGAATACCTGCAATAGTTGTAGATAACGATCCTTCGAATGGCGAACCTGAAACAATCAAAATGTTAGGAAAGGGGCCGGGTGAACACCCGACTAATCTCCTCCTAAGCTCAAGTCAGTCGCCATGGGAGACATTCACGCAGTGTATTTCTAAATTAGGTTTGCGTACCTTTTTTAATTTCTCTGAGAGGTTTTTATACTTGAACAAGTAATGATTAGGGGGTCTGAGAGTCCCATCTTAGTATTTAATGGCTGACACTCTTACCCAAGCGCAATAAGTGCCCCTAAGTCAAATTCCCTCACGACCAACCTCTTCGAGGTGACAAATAGTTCTCGGGGTGCCTCGAGCAATAACTCCCTATAATCGATCATTTAATACCCTCGGCTCGGTGCTTGCCACCTACACCTGAGCACCTACTACTCGGAGAATAGTAGCCTTAGGGCTTGCTGAGCATAATGAATTGGCATCTTGGTAGAGGCTCATTAATGGCCCTGTCACTATCACTAAAGTCGCCATTAATGAGCTGTTGTATCTTCTTTAATGTTGGTTTCAATCAACGCACTCGGCTCCTTCCCTGCCATCACTAATCGACTCTTCCTCCTGGCACCCTTTGAGGTCCATAATGGATATAATCGTACACGTGTCATCTTGTGGGTGCTGACCCACCTAAAGTCTCGTCAACTGCCCCCCAAGACTCCATTCTTTTCACGTCATGGGATAGGTGGCACCTAGGAGATGGAGGCTTCCTGGGCACACCTGATTTTTAGGGGCGGTTACTTGCACGTCTGGCACCGTATTTTTCAAATTTGCAATCGATGACTTGCCTCTTCGATTCCCGCCGCTACTGTAGAGTATAAATAGGAGATGTTTGGCCATTTCCAGACTTTGGATTCTTGAGTTCTCCATTCTGCAATCAGTTCCCGAACGCACATCTTTTCTCCCCTGAGCACTTTCTATGAAGATCTACCACATGTAAGTAATCTCCTTTCCATAATCTCTCCATTTCCCCATTCTTCTATATTTCATCAAAACCCATCCATGGACAGAATATGAAGAATCGTAGTTAGGCAACCTGTTAGGGCTAGGGACAGTGGCAGGTTGAGGAGAACCAAAGTACAGGATACCAATATTCAAGCTTTTAGGGCTAGATACAACATTCCTGAGCCCGTTTACACATTCATCTTCGACCATGTGTTCCATAGTACTGATGTAGAGAGTGTAGAACTCATACCCTTTCACACCAAAGCCATTATGGAGGGAGAAGTTAGGTTCCCTCTTCCCCCACCAATGTTGCATTAGTCTTCTTAGGATAGTGATGAGCATAGTTGCCCTAAACGCCCGGCTAGGGGTGAACCTAGGAGTGGATGAGCTTCTGTTCTGCTATGACCTGAAGATGGTCAGTAGCGGCAGATATTATCTATAAGTTCGGGACACCTCCATGTATTTGGTGACCCACATGCCAGACTCGGATAAGGGGTATGTCTAGGATCTAATCATGCTCGGCGGTAGTTAGGAGAAAGATAATGGGCCCGAGTATGATGCATTATGCTACCCCAAAGTGCCAAGGAGTCCAGGTGTGTATTACACAATCTTTACCACTATTCGGCTTTCATTTCTGTTCTTGACTACTACTAGTTTCCTGTGGTAGATAGAAACAAGGACGACGCTACTCAACCCTTGAAGTTCGAGGTCAGCTTCAGAGACTTGCTAAAAGTTTGGTCCCATAACTTGGCCGATCCATTTGCTCGGGCGGCCCATGTGTTGCTCAGCTACACTCCTGGCTAAACCAAGTTTTCTTAGATCCCATCCCCGTTCGACCCTTCTATCTGGGAGGACCAATCTTTGGAGGAGGAAAAGGAAGAGGACCTTGACGCCAACTCGAACAGAGACACGAGTGTACACCATCCCTCGAAGAGATGTTTAACTTCCCCCTATCACAGCAGATACCCTTGAAGCTGCCTTGGCGACAAGGAGAATGAGGCTCTCGGGTGCTGGCAAGCCGTCTGGCACCACCCCTATCGCAGTGCCGCCACCCCCTCCATTGCTCCAACAGCCGTCACCACCGCCGCCACAGCAACAACTGTAACTACAAAACCCAGTGATCCCCCCGAGGGACGAGCAGCATCGGAGGCGCCAAGGAACTCCCCCAGATTTGGCCGATGAGCAACAAAAGGACCGTTGTAGTTGAGAGCCTGAGTCCTCCACTAAGCGCCGAGTGAAGTAGCTGCACGACATTCTGGCGCCCGATGTTCCTGTCGAGTGGGCCCCCCAAGCCATCACAAGGAAGGGGCGCCCCGTTTTGGAGTCTGACTTCATCATTCACTCCCCTGATGTTGTCTTGGCCGTCAGTGAGAGCCTCCAATTTGAGGCTGACATGGCAGTTCATGAAGACTATGGAGACAACCGGCTCTTGCAAGGAGTCATTCAACACAACTTTGGTGGTAAATGTGTCGAGTCCTTTTTTGACCTTAACCTTTTTCTCTTTTGATCGTTTGGTCTTTCCTTACTTTTGTTCTTCTTTCATAGGCCTTATATTCTTCTTGAACTATAAAAAAATTATTTTCATTAAATAAACACAGTTTGGATGCTCAAACAAAAAAACACTAAAATAAAAAATATTTTATCAAAAAGTGAGTGGTGGTGCTGGGCGGCGGTGACAATGCGTGGTGGTGGCAATGACGATGATGGTGTTAAGGTGGCAGAGGTGGTGGGAAAGCCTTTGGCATCATTTTTTTGTTTGACTGTTTAGTTTCTTCTTCTTCTGATTTTTATTTCCTTCAATAATTCTTTGTTGTTTTGATCAATTCTTGTTGTGAGATTATTTTGTGTTGGAGTATAGTCTAGTTTATTAGGATTTCTTTTCCTTCTTATACCCTTACTATGACTTTTATATTTTGTCTAGACCACAAGTATGTTTAGGTCACTTGTATTATTATTTGACTATATATACGGGGCTCTACTCTTAGTTTGAGTATCCCTTTTTCACTCACATCTATCTCAAGATGGTATTAGAGCCACCAACCCTAACCCTAACCTCTGCCAAACATCGCAACCAGCGAGACGACATCCTCCACCTAAATTATCAGCCACCACTCCACCGTCTGCCTCTATTTACCACAACCACCCACAGCTTGCATCAACCCAACTGACCCACAGCACCTAGTGAAACAAAACCATCCTACACCAACTTAGACTGCCCCCAAAGTCCACAACCTGTATCAACCCAACCGACCAACAGTACCCANTATTTTCATTAAATAAACACAGTTTGGATGCTCAAACAAAAAAACACTAAAATAAAAAATATTTTATCAAAAAGTGAGTGGTGGTGCTGGGCGGCGGTGACAATGCGTGGTGGTGGCAATGACGATGATGGTGTTAAGGTGGCAGAGGTGGTGGGAAAGCCTTTGGCATCATTTTTTTGTTTGACTGTTTAGTTTCTTCTTCTTCTGATTTTTATTTCCTTCAATAATTCTTTGTTGTTTTGATCAATTCTTGTTGTGAGATTATTTTGTGTTGGAGTATAGTCTAGTTTATTAGGATTTCTTTTCCTTTTTATACCCTTACTATGACTTTTATATTTTGTCTAGACCACAAGTATGTTTAGGTCACTTGTATTATTATTTGACTATATATACGGGGCTCTACTCTTAGTTTGAGTATCCCTTTTTCACTCACATCTATCTCAAGATGGTATTAGAGCCACCAACCCTAACCCTAACCTCTGCCAAACATCGCAACCAGCGAGAC